CGCTGCCTGCAAAAATATTTTATATTTTACATGATTTTTACTTTAATGATCTCCAAATTTTAACATAGTCCCTTACTGCCTGCAAAAATATTTTATATTTTACATGATTTTTACTTTAATGATCTCCAGATTTTAACATAGTCCCTTATGGTTTTGGGGGTTTTTTTGTTTGTTTTTTTTGTTTGTTTGTTTGTTTGCTTGTTTGGGGTTTTGGGTTTTTGTCCCAGCTGGATCCCTCTTTTCCTGTGCTGTTCTTTCCCACACCCTTCTCTGCATCCTCCCCAAATCAGTATGCAAAGCACTGAGTCCTCCAACGAGGCATCACCTCCTGTCTGATCCATCCACGCACTGGGGTAACCAGCCAAATATTTGCCTTCCCCGTGCTCCTTTCCTTGCAGTGGTGCTGGAAGGCTGTTGAATTAATTTCTCCGTGGCTGCTCCCTCTCACAGGGTTTTGGCTCGAGGTCCTACACTAATGCCTACAGAACCTGATGCTTGAGGCTCTGTTAAATTGCCAGGCTTAGCCTGGTGCTCCAGGGAATAGCCTGGCCACTTAGGAAACTGCCTGTCCGAGCTCTGCTGGGATTGCTGCAGCGCTTTGAATTCACAGCCCACTCGATTTCAGATTAATTTCCCTGAACCAGCAAACCCAAAGTGACAGGAATTAGGAAGAAATTCCTCTGCAGGCAAAGGATAATAGGTGAAATTTCATTTCATTTTTCTCTGCAGCAGCTGCTGCTGGTTCCTGCCAGGGACCAGTTAGACAAGGCAGGGATGGATCCGGTGTGGGCATCCTCCTCCTGCTGGGTGGCTTTGCTGTCCAAGCCCTGGGATTTACCTGCTGAGAGGGACATGTTCCTCATCCCTGCTGCTAGTGGGAGATGACCCAGGAGCTCAGCTCAGCTCTCTGTGTCCCAGTGCCTGCCTTCTCTGGGGAAATAATGGAATCTTGAACAGTTTATGTTGGAAGGGACCGGCCCAGATTGTTCCAGCCCCTTGCCATGGGCAGGGACACCTTCCACCATCCCAGGCTGCTCCAAGCCCCACCCAACCTGACCTTGAACACTTCCAGGATCCATATCTTCTCTAGGTCCCTGTGCCAGGGCCTCACCACTTTCATCATAAAACATTTTTTCCTTATGTCAACCCTAAATTTACCATTCTCAGTTGAAACCCCATCCCCTTCTCCTGCCATCCTGACCATGATCAAAAGGTTCTCTCCATCCCTGCCTTTGCTAAATCCAGCCGGGAAACTCTGAAGCCGACTCCTCTGGGTTGTGTTCCTGTCTCACCTGCTCTGGCCACACTCACCTCGCCATTAATGCTAATTAGGGGCAGAACTCATCCCGCTCTGCCTTCTGCCTGCTTTTCCCCGCGGAGCGTTCCTCTGTTCCCGAATCCCAGCCTCCCCGCTGTGGCAGGCGCTTCTCCCTGCAGCTGCGTGCCACCTAGTGCACACTGAGCCGCACGGCCGGCCATCCATCCCTCCGCAGCTTTCTGGAGCTACATGAGCCTTTCCAGGTCCCTTCCAGCCCGAGCTGTTCCATCCACACAGGTTCCTGCGCTGGCAGGCAGCGATGTCCACCCCATCTGTCTTGTCGGCCTGGCTGTCCCCGCACAGGTCATCACTTCCCAGTCACCCACTTTGGCACGGTTTGGGCTCTCTGGAGTGAATCTAAAAGCACTGAGGCTGCAGCAGTCCCATCTCACAACAGCGATGCTGCAGCAGGAATGAGATGCAGGAATTCCCCAGGGCTGGCAGAGAAGCCACCAAGTGCTGGTCCCAATGGACAAGTCATAAAAATAAAGACACCTATATAAATATCTGAGTATTTATATAACATATCTAGGGCTGTTGTCCCACAGGATCCTGCTGCCAGGTGAGGTTTCACCCTCACAAGTAATGGCAGGCAGAAAAGGGAGTTACAGACACCCTAAAGCTCATGGCTCACAGCGAGTGCCTTTGGTGACAGAGGGGACCCAGCTCGCTGTTTCCCATCCCCTATTCCCCCATGTGATCCGTTCCTGCTCCTCCCCAGCCCCGATGGCGGCTGGAGCCCACGGCATGGGTCTGCTGCCTCCGGAGAGCCTCCTGTCAGCACCGCGTCCTTGGGCTGCTCCTTCCCACCTGCCCCAGGTGGTTTCTGTAGCAGGAAGCAGATTAGGGAGGAACAAAGGTGATTTTGTCTGGGGAGGGGATGGCTCTCCCCGAACTCCAGCTTGCTGCAGCCCAGGGCGATGCTGAGCCTCTCTGCGGGCTTCCACTGCTCTTTCCTCAGCCCTGCTCTTCCTTCAGTGAACTGCCAGAAAACACCTTAAAATTAGCTCGTGGTTCCCAAATAGCACAGGGAGCACAGCCCCAGCTGCACCGAGGCGGGGCTTGATGTCAGGACAGGGAACCAAAATGGTCTTGTACTGGATTTACATCTTTCCCTTCTTCAAAGGCTGCTGGCCACAGGCTGGTGTGGGGCTGAGAGCTGCCAGGACCCCACACTGCAGGATCCCACCACTATCCGTGCCCTGGAGCAGCAGGAGGAGCAGAGGAAGGAAGGGAAGCTCCATCCTGCTGTAAATGCAGCATTTTTCGTGCTGGTACTCCCAAAAGTGAAAGCAGCAGCAGGAGCCCCCTAAACACTGGTGATTTAGCTCAGCAATCACCAGGGGAATCCTGTCATTCTTTATACACTAGCTAATGGCTTGAAACAGCAACTGGTGTTCTTAGCCCTGTGTTTCCCTCCTGGCAGCAAGAAGATGACTTTTGTTTCAGCTTAAGGTTTTTTCATATGGCACCAGGCCCTTCTTTACATCCCAAATGAATTTCCTGGCCATTGTATAGCCTGGACAAATGAATTTATCTCTCCTCTCTGTATTTTCCCAGCTAATTGAAAAGGGAAATCACTTTGGAGTTTCGGTTTTTGTTTTGGTTTTGGTTTTTGGTTGGTTGTTTTTTTTTTTTTTCCTGGAGGCCTTGTATTTTCTGCAGTTTCATGAGCCACTTGTTTTCCCCAGTTTCTACCCATGGCCAAACTACTGCCAGAAAAGATGACTGCTGGAGATGCCACCCACTGCCATAGGAAACTGCTTGTGGCACGTGGCAGCTGCTGAGTGCATGTGGGGATGGCCCTGAGTCCTCCAGAAGCTTCTCTCCCCTGAACATCTCTGGAGTGTCCCAGAGTGTCCCTGCCTGACTAGGCAGCAGGACCATCAGGAAGCACAAAAAGAGCTTCTTTTTTTCCTGGCACACAAGAGAACAGCCTTGCTGTCCTGTGGAATTTTATAATTAGCCTTTTTTATGTTGTGGCTGCTCCTTGAATAAGGCTGGTTGTGTTTTCTTTTCCTCAGAGCAGCGTAATCCCCCAGCCTGATACTGCCAAGCCACTCAAAGCACACACAGGAACGATGTAGACATGGAAAAAGGCTGAGATGCTGCCCCAGTGCCCAGAGAAATCCTGGACAGGGTGGAGAGCATCTCATCCCTGCATGTCCACATTGTGCCCCTGGTCTGCCAAACCTGGATGGGCATTGATGCTGGAGCTGATGATTCCCAGTCCATGGGCCCTGGCAGACAGCCAGGATGGTGGAGAGTTTGTCAAAGTTTAGGCAAAACAGACTTAAAAGGCACCTTTGAAACTTGTGCTCATGATCTGGTTAATTAGAACCTTGCTGCTACTGGGAAATAAAAGTGCCTAATTGCTAATTACTGAATCTCTGCAAGAAAGGAACAGCAGAAGCAGTTGGCAACAGTTGTAGCCAGAGCTGGCTTTGTGCAGAGCTAAAATACAAAACCCAGACTTTTTAGGGCATTTAGATGTCTGGGCTTTGCACAGGAACAAGCGAAAAATCCAGCAGCAAGAGCCACAAGGCAAATTCTGCCTCCTGTGAGAATGAGGGCAGGAATCCTGTGGCTCATAAAATCAACTTGTTCAAAGCCCAAAGCACACCAGGCTCCTAAAATTGTTGGGGAACTTAAGAATTCATAAGGCTGGGAAACCCAGTATGTTTGGAGGTTCCTTTTCTGTGGTCTTCAAGGCTGCTGAGACCCACAAGTTTCACATTATCTGGCTGTTACTTGTAATGATGGTTAAAATGGTTTAAAGGCTGTATTTGTTTAAAATTATTAAATACACACAATTATTTTTAAAATAAAGATATGCCCTGGTCAGAAGCAGAAGAAGACAACATGAATGTGTAGAGTAGAAGGTGGGGAGGTGAATGGGGAAGGTTCCCAGCCACAGGACATCCCTCTCCACAGGCTGAGAGCACAGGGATAGGTCAGGTCCCTCTAATGTCCTCAGCAGAGATGCCTTGGATGGTCAGACAGGAAAAATCACATGAAAACAGACCTCTAAAGGTAATTTCTTGCCTAGGAGCAGGCAAGGAAGACCATGGTTTGCCCAAGGAACAGGTCTCCAAGGCCCCCAGGCAGGGAGGGAGGTCAGAACCATCCCCTCCTGCTGCATCCCAGTGCTGGCTCAGGCACCGACAGAAGTATTTCCAGCCAGATGGTTACTGCTGACTTCCTCTCCAGGTGGGCACTCAGACAGCCGAGGAGGGAGGTGGGAAGGAGCTGAAAAGCCCAAATCCTCTGAAAAAGCTTCTTCCTTCCCCTCGAGGCGTAACCCGGCTCTGCCAGCACCCAATTTAAGGATGTGTCCCTGCCTGCCTCCCTGAAACCCGAGCCATTCCCTCCCCGCCATGTCTCCTTAGCGGTATTCCCTCTCTTTTCTTTCTGCTTCTTCTTCCTCCTCTTCTCCCTTCTTCCTTCTCCTCCTCTTTCTCCTTTGCTTGGGGATGATCTGCCCCAGGATGTGTTGCAGGGCTGCCATCCTGCTGTAACCCAGCAGCAGCAGCCCCAAAACTGCGAAGGGATGACAGGCTGGAGCTGTTCCGTTGATGGATGAGATCCATTTTCTTCCCCCTTTTTAATTTTTTTTTTTAAATTTTCTAAGCAAGATCTCACCTAAGGAAAAAAAAAAATCCTGCCTTATCCCCATCCCATCTTACCAGGAATATTAATTTCAATCGTTATTTTTGAATATTTTATAACTAACTAGCCAGCTCCTTTGTGTATTTCAAAAGCGGACGGATATTTCTGGGATTTGATACACCCATCTTTATACTGAAGAGAAAATACTGAACAGGTATGTGGATTTATGATGCTTTTTTTTTAGGTCAGGGTGGTAATTACAAATAATGATCTGGCAGGGTAGTGGCAGCTGAAAAACTGTGATTTCTCCTGAAGTTGTTTGAATAGTCAAAAAGTGGAAGAAGTGATAAACAGAGACCTGGGGTTCACTCCAGCTGTGGCCAAAGGGTCCAAAGGGGACCAAAAGGGATGAAAGGATCTGCAGGGTCCTGTGTCCAGGTGTGAGGAGGGAGTTCTCACTGAGGGCAAAGGGCTGGCTGGGCACAGTGTATCTGCTGTGCTGTGTTATTTGAGGTGAAAGCAGAGACTTTCTGTGCCCTACGTTAAAGCCCTGATCCTCCCCTGTGAGTTTTGTACCATCCTTGGTGGTCAGTGCTTGTGCAGCATGGGGCTGATGGAGGATTTGCTGCTTTTCCAGCGGGTCCGTGGTGGGGGGTGGCTTCACAGGACACCTGACAGCTTGAAAACCTTGGTGTGAAGTGACTTCCATAAACCCACATTGAGCAACTCTTTAAGTCATAGAATCATCACAAAATCATAGAATGTTTTGGGTTGGAAGGGACCTTAAAGCTCATCCCATTCCACCTCCCTGCCGTGGGCAGGACACCTTCCACCAGCCCAGGTTTCTCCAAACCCTGTCCAACCTGGCCTTGGACACTTTCAGGGATGGGGCAGCCACAGCTTCTCTGACTGATATTAAAAGGGATGCTAGGTTTTGCTACAATGCCATAACGACTAATTATGGCTTAAAAGCAGATTTTTTTCTGTGGAAATTCTGAAAGAGCCCCAACACCCCTGGGTTTAAGGAAAGGAGTTCAGTTTTCAGCTGAATCTTGAGCGTTGGGGTGAGGACTGAGAAGCAGTTGGAAAAGCACAGACAGAGAAGGAAAGTTGGGTTTTCCCTCTTCGGGGTCAGCAGTGGCACAGCACCGCAGTGGTTAATGCCCGCTGCCACCCTGCGAGGGAGCAGGAACGCGCTGGCTCCGGCACAAAAGTGGCCGGCGATGACAACGTCCCTGCGAGCAGGACGCGATGCCGGGGTTTGGCCGGGACAGGGCGGCGGAGGGGCCATCTGTCAGCCCTGCCCGCTGGGGAGAGGGGAGGGCCCGTGGGACAAAAGGCGACATTATTCGGTGCTTCAGGAGGGATGAATGGAGTATTGAAAGCCACCACCTCAGCGAGTAGATTGGTTTTCAGCCCCCATCACTGAGCTGTCTGTCCGCTGGTGAGTCTCATCCAGAGGCCTGGGCAGCAGGAGTCGAGCAGAGATCAGGGAGATGTAACGGGGCCGTGCCCCATCCACCCGGGCTCCTTCCTGCACCTCCATCACCTCTTGCTGGTGCATAGAAAACCATTTGGTCCACCACCATCTCTCCCTAGTGAAGGCAACAAGGTCCAAGCCTTGGTCTGGATGCTCTGGAGCTCCCCCAGCCCATGATCTGGAGAGCCCTTGGCTGGGTGGACACCAGCACACCCACCTTGGAGCTCTTCTGATGCCATGCCTCCCCATGGGAAAGCCAGGAGCAGCAAAAGGCTGGATGAGGGGTTTCCATGGGAAGGAGGGGTTAGTCACTGATACAGTGGATTTCAATGACCTTTCCCAAGTTTCTGACCACCAGCAGATGCCTGAAGCGGCAGCAGTCGTTGTGCATCCCTTCAGGAGCTGATGTGCCCCGGGCTGGAGGGATTAATTTTAGGGCTTAGCTGAGCTGAGCCTCACAGCCCGGCTCTGGAGCCGGCGTGCGGGCGCATCCTCACGATGGCACTGCTCCCCCAGCGCACGCTGCCGCCAGACCGGCTGCTGGCACGGCGGGGATGTGGGTCTGGGCTCCCGGAGCAGTCCTGGCCAGCAGGACCAGCACCCACCCCCCTCCCAGAGAGCCTGAGTGAGACAGAGCTGGAAATCCACCCCTTCGGCAGTGAGCAGTAAATGAGGGGAAATGGAACCTTAAGATATTGGATCTCTTCCCCATTTTCTGCTGACATTCCCTGTTGCTGAGTTTTGTCTTGCAGGTGGGATATGGCCCTTCAGCGTCATCTTGCCACTCAAAAGAAAAAAAAAAAAATCACTTGTTCTCAAAGAATCCAGCTGGAATTATTTTCATATGTCTTCTTGTCACTGCTCCTGGGAATACTGAGAGGGGACAGGTCCTTGGTGACCACAGGCTCTCCAGACCACCACCACTAACACTGCTGTCTGCATGTTTTCAGGGAAGTGTCCTCTGGAAATTCGCCTGCAGGAGGACTGACGAGCAGCAATGACACTCGGTCCCTGTCCTGACACCCGGCACGGCACAAGGGGGCTGGACACCGAGGTGCTGCCTCTCTCCTTGATGCCAGCCACACTCCTTATCCTCCTCGTTCTCCTCAGCCCCACCGGTGAGCTCCCGCTTGGGGCAGTGGGAGGGGTTTTAGGCACCTGCGATCCCTCTCCTGCTCTCAGATTTGTGGGCAGATTTTCTCCAGGCACAGGATTATTGTGGTGTCCCCTACAGCGCTGAGTGTGCACAGGGACGGAGGGAGCACGTTCAGCTCTTATGTCCCACCGTGACCTGGCTGTGATGGCAAGCCCAGCATGCAGGACAGGCAGGGAAATGGGACAGGCAGCTGCCAGCACTGGCGACAGAGCAGTTCTGGGCTCCCATGGGAGCAGAGAGCAGGCAGCACCCATGGGGAGATGCTGATGGCCAAGGGATGCTCCTGGAGTTGCTCCCCAGGACCTGTGGGACCAGTCCTGCCAAGGAAATGGGCAGAACATGCACCCATCTCCTGAGAAGAACCGTCTCTACTCACTCCTGGCAGGCAGTGTCCAGCCAGGATGGGAAGCATTTCAATAGACCTGGGAAAGCCATTCCCGCTCGGGAAGGCGGGTGGTGGCAGCGCAGTTATCCCAGTGTGACTCCATCCATGTCATTGCAGCCGGGCGGTGGGGAACGCATTCCTGCCTCAACAAACCCGCGCCAAGGCACAGCCAGCCGGAAAGCTGGGAATTCAGATGTAGGCAGACATCCTAATTGAGTTAAATCGGGTTTTACCTTCCCACCCCCTCAGCTGGTGCTTCCCTTCCCCCTCGGGATGCTGCGGCAGCATCCGCGCTCACACTCCGGGTGTGAGGATCCTGGGGGGACGCTGGTGGCTCTGTCGCGGTCCCCTGCACCGCCTGGCTCTCCTCGTTCTCTGCCTTAATGGGCACAGATTAGTCGCTAACGAGGGGCCATTTGTCCTCCCGTTTGGTGGTTTTGTTTAGCAGCGGTGTTTACTCGAGCAGTTTCCCTTTTTCTTTTGGCTTTGTGAAGCTGGATCAGAGAAACATGGAGGGCTCTATCTCTCCTCAGAAAGACAGTTCCTTATTATTGTAGACACACCAGGCATATTCTTTTCAGATCTCTCCTGACTTTGCTGGAGGATGCTCTTAAATGAATATTTCAGAGCTTTGATTTTGACTCAAAGGGAGATGAATATTTATCAATGTCCTTTTTATCCTCTGCTTTTTTGGCACTGGAGTGGACTAGGTGTTAAAAATCAATACAAACCAGGATCAAACACTCTTCCTAGAAACCCACACATCTCCCCATTTTTGGTGCAGGGGTGAGCTGAATTACCTCTACCCTGTTGTCCAGCCCACGGGGCTCCTGTATCCTTCCCTGTCCTCTCCTGCAGAGCCTTTCTCCTCCCGTGGTCTCACCTGTTTAATCCCCAGTTCTTGCTGGAATCACAGCATGCCTTTCCATGCCTGGTCCAGCTGGGTAGGGCAGGAGCACTGACGATGCTGGAGCTCCCTGGCTGCTGATGTTCATCCCACTATCCCTGCTAAAGTCATGGATACATCCAGACAGTTGTCTTATTCTCCTTTCTCCTGGGGCAGCTCCCTGGCTGCTGATGTTCATCCCACTATCCCTGCTAAGTTATGGAGACATCCAGACAGTTGCCTTATTCTCCTTTCTCCTGGGGTTTCTAGGTCTTTCTTTGACAGCCCTGATTTCTGGCTGACTTAATGGTCTCCCAGGCAACGTCCCAGCGAGGAAAAGGGAGGTGGGTTCACTGCTGCACTGTCCCCCCAGGCTCACAGAGCTTCTCACGGCGCTGACATCCACCTCCAGAGCAGCTGGGATTGACCTTCCCGCCACTGCTCGTAGGCTGAGCGTGAAGCAGCACAGGGCTGGTCCGAGGCAGTGGGAGGAAAGGAGGCCACAGGTGTTGATCAGCCCCTGGGTGCTGTAATTAGCATGGAGGCATCATAGAATCGTGGAATGGTTTGGGTTGGAAGCGACCTTAACACTTATCTCGTACCAACCCCCTCCCAATCCACTAGGTTTGGAAGGATTTTGGAAGGTGTCACCCACGGGAGAGGGTTGTGCAGCCAGAGCCTCAAGAGCTCAGGTGCCCAAGGAGGTCTGTGTTGGGCTCCAACACTGGACAAGTGCTTGTGGACTGGGATGTCTACGAGGTCCAGCTGCCCATCTCCATCCACCATCCCCTAGGGCACCATGATCTTGTTCTTGTGACCTCCTGGACAAGCTGGAGCCCACAGTGACCTGTGCTGGCAGCATTCCAGGGAAGTTCCCACATCACTCAGCAGTGGAGCTGAGAGGGATTTTGTGCCCAAATAATGCCCAGCAGTGGGAGGGGGGTCCAGAGATGAGGACACATCCTGCATCCTTCATCCTCCCTCTGCATGAGGTTTGTTCACCCCCTAGGGTGGCTACACCCCATCAGGAGGTGTGGTGGTACTTGCATGTAATTATGGAGCTTCCACAAAGTGGATTTTGCTGGGGAAATAAAAGAAAAAACCAATGAAAATGCACACAGGGTGCAGCATCTTCCATCAAGAGATCTCCAGTGGGTTTCTCAAGCTGGGCAGGATTGATTTTCCTTGTTCCCATCTCACCACCTAAGTTTTCCATGGGGGTGATGGGGCAGGAGGATGCAGGAGCTGCCCAGGGCCCACAGCAAGGCAGTAATGGAGCCAGGGACAGAAAAAAAGGTCCCCAAGATCTTGCCTAAAACAGGATCCACCTGGAGTGGCTTCTGCTAGCCATTGGGCTCATTAGGGTCAGACATGTCACCTTATGCTTCACAGCCCCACCAGAGTCACAGTCACTCATATGCTGCCTCAGTTTCCCCACCTATGAAGTAGGTGAAGTGATGCCCTGGGGAAGGGTGTTCATTTTCTCCCTACAAACTCTGGGACTTTGTAGGGAAGGGAAGGATCCAAGGGCTGCTGGGTCCTGCCAGTCCCCACCACCCCCATCCCATCCCTGCTGCCATCACTCTCCAAGCTGCACCTCCTCCTCTCTGGGAAGAGCTGATCCTTCCTCTTCTTCCTTGCAGGCACCACCTCTGAGCCCGAGATGTTGCCATTCCCAGGTGAGATTCTTCTTTGAAAGTCACTTTTCTCCAGGAAGTTTTGTAGTTGAAAAATGCATTTTTAGGTAAAAGAAGGGATTTGGGGAATTTAAAAAAGGAAATATATTGGTTTGGAACAAAAAGTGGCATGAAGAAGCTAAACTTCTTTTACAGAAAGAAAATAAAGATTCTTTATTATCCCTATTCTGCTAATTATCCTGAGAGGAGAATTTTTCACTTCCTGCTGAGTCCCTGTCCCTGTGCCATGCATCACACACAAGTAAATAATTCCCTTGATATGGTAGACCCCAGGCACTCCCATGCCTGCCCCCCATTGCCAGCAGCCTGAAGATCATCTCCATCCCACCAGCTTCCATGTGGGACCAGCTCTGGGTGCATTCATTGAGGCTAATAGGAATTTGCTAATTGCTTCTTGTCACTTGTCACCTATTGTAAGCCAACATGTGGTGCCACGTGTCTGCTTTTCCCCTCACCCTTGGGTCTTTTGATGGGAGCATCACAGAGTCACAGAATGGTTTGGGTTGGAAGGCACCCCAAAAACCATCTCATTCTACCCCTGCCACGGGCAGGAACACCTTCCACTAGACCAGGCTGTCCAAAGCCCCATCCAGCCCGACCTTGGTGATGGTGCATCTCATGCCTGGATTGAGATGTGCTGTGTCACCACAGCCACTGCTGCCAGCAGATGAAGGGGAGCCCACGTCCCACCAGCAGGTGGGCAACACCAAGCCAACAACTGCGTTGTGCTTCAGAGAAGGGGCAGGATTTTATCTAAGGAGCAGGAGTTTGATGTAGATTTGCTCCCCATGGCCCGTTGCCTGCTGAGGGACCTCTCTGTCGCCATCCTCCCAGAGATCCGCCTGGCCAACGGGCCCAGCCGGTGCCAGGGGCGAGTGGAGATCCTCTACAACGGCTCCTGGGGCACGGTCTGCGACGACGACTGGGACATCGTGGATGCCAACGTGGTGTGCCGCCAGCTGGGCTGTGGCCATGCCATCACCCTGCCCGCCGCCATGACCTTCGGCCAGGGCAGCGGGCCCATCTTCCTGGACAACGTGGACTGCAAGGGCTCGGAGGCAGCCCTGAGCGAGTGCTGGAGCCACGGCTGGGGCATCCACAACTGCTACCACTACGAGGACGTGGCTGTTGTGTGCAACGGTAACGAGGTTGGGTTCCCTGGGGGCAAGGAGAGCACAGGGTTCTTATGGGGTGCAAGACTTGGGGGCTGCAGGGGCCTTGCTAGAGCCCAAGAGTCTTATTTCAGAGCCTGGTTCTCTGACCTGGGTCAGCCAAACATCCCCTGCCCTCTCCTCTCACCCTTCTCCTCAATCCAGGTCACCTCCTTGCTCCACAGGCTGGTGCTCCATAAGGTGACCAGCCTGTTTTGTGTTCCTTGTCACTCCCAGATCAGGGACTTTGTGCCCTCTCCAGCATGATCCCTGGGGAAAGAGCACATGCCCACCCACGCTCCTGCCTCTGAGTCAGTTGCTGCCCAACTGCTCTTTCCCCTTTTGACTTGTGTTTCTTTAAATTGCTGAGCTTTTCAGTAGATGTTCCTAAAGGTGAGAAAAGCAGTGGAAAGTGTTTGAACTTGGCAAGAGAAAGTGGAACGGCTCTGTGACGACCCTTATGTACCCCACACACGTTCCTCCCTCGCTGTGCAAGCTTTGCTCATCAGCCAGGCATCAGTGAGCTGTGAAACTGAGGCTGGGCAGACCTGGAGCAGCTGTTCCGTGAATCCCCACGTCCAAGCAGGGCTTGGAAAAGGAGGGATGGAAAGGCAGGGATGCTGGGTTGGCTGGTAGGTTGTACCAACAGCAACCAGAGAACAGAGGTTGTGGATTGAGCAGGAAACTAAATTGTGGCATTGTTGCAGAGGAGAGGTGGAATGAGTGAAAAAGGAGGTGGAGAGCTGGGTCTGAGGGCAGAAGAGAGGCTGGAGGCATTGGCAGAGAGCTCTGGTGCAGCTGCAAACACCTCTATTTTCAGCTGGAGCTGGTTTGGTGCAGACCCTCCTGGAGTAGCGGGGTGGGAGGGATCCCTCCAGCTTTGAGGTGGAGCAGCAGCAGATGCCACCTCTCTGCTTCCCTTTGCAGAGTTCTCACCCACGCAAGTCAGCGAAGGACCGACCACCAGGACCCTCACAGCCTCGGTACAGGATGGGGAAAGTAAGCTGCTCAGCTGTCACTGCCTGAGGGCAGTGTCCCTTACTGTCACCTGCTGTCCCTCTTGAAGCCTGCCAACCCTCCAGTCCTGAGCTGCAGACCCCCAAACCCCATCATTGTGCTGGCCATGGCCACACCCTATCCCAGAGGTTCCCAAGCCCCATTGCTCTAAAGCTTCATCCCTTCCCCCCTCTTTCTCACTCATTTCCTTTGCCATGATGGCCACGGCAGGGTCTGGGCATGGTGGCAGCGTTGTGCCACGTGCAGGGACACCACATCCTTCTCATCTCATGCTGCCACCCTCCAGGTGACGGCAGCATCCGCCTGGTGAGCGGCCCAGACACCTGCCAGGGCCGGGTGGAGATCTTCTACCGCGGGAACTGGGGCACCGTCTGCGACGACGACTGGGGCCTGAGCGATGCCAGCGTGGTCTGCAAGCAGCTGGGCTGTGGGCAAGCCCTGGATTACAAGAGCAATGCCTATTTTGGCTATGGAACAGGACGTATCCTCCTGGACAACGTCAACTGCGACGGCAGCGAGCCCTTCCTGTCCGCCTGCTACAGCCTCGGCTGGGGCATCCATAACTGTGGCCACCACGAGGATGCTGGGGTCATCTGCGCAGGTACCAGGCAGTGCACTGCCCTCAGGGTGGGGAAAAACCCAGGGACATCCTGTTCTCCAAGCAGAAATGGCCTCAGAGAGATGCTGAGGTGCTCAAGGCTGGGCAGGGACTGGGCTCTGCGCTGTGGGAGCATCCTTGTTCCTTACCCACCCTCATCCCGGTGCTCTGGATTAGCAGCCCTACGTCAAGAGCCCGGAGCACAGCCAGGGTGGTGATTTGCAGGGGAAATGCACCTGCCATCCTGCCACTTCCCTCTGCCATTTCCCTGCTCTGCTGGCTGGAAAACGAGCTGCCCGTGTCCGGAAGGAGCGAGCGGCTGCCAGGGGCTGGGCACCGCGCCAGGTCCAGCCTGCCTCCCCTTCCCCTCCTGAAATGATGTATTCCTGCCATTCTCCACTGATTACTGTTTACAATATTAATAATCCCCCTGAATTCCCTCATTAACATGGCTAATGACGGGAGCAGTCACTGCCAGTGCTTTCCCTTTCTCACAATTAATGGACAAAGGGGATGATGTAGGACAAAAGGGACAATTTTTCAGGCTGGTCCTTTCCTGCTTAAACATCCCCATCCCCTCTGGCACCTCCTCTGGGCACAGAGTCGATGGCACCACCACGCCCACACCTTGCTCAGAGGGGCAAGGGATAATGAAGCATAAATGGTAATGAATCCTGATGATAAATCTCCCAGGTGTCACCTCTATCCCTCTGTGTCACCACAGGACTGGACACATCCACCATCACATCATTCACCACCTCGGTGGCCCTGGACTCCGAGGAGACGCTCACAGCCACGGCCACAGGTAGGAGGTGGGCAGTCACTCATCTGGGGGGGAAGCTGTGCCCTCTGTGTCCTCTTGTGAGCCAGCCTGGCCACCCTGGGGTTCTGCCATGCGTGGGTGATGCTCGAGGGGTGACACTGCCCATGGCAGGGTCTCGCCGGGGCAGCCATGCTGCTGGTGGTCACTGGCACTGACTGGAACAGGGGTGGTGGCTGCTGGGTCTGGACCCCTCAATGCCCACATGTCCCCACGCTTGTCCCAGCAGTGACAGACAGCAGGGACCAGCCCTCCCAGGCCACCAAGGTGGTCACCACCACGCTCCTGACCATCGAGCAGGAAAGTAAGTGTGCAGCTGCTGCTAGTCCTACACAGAGCTCCACATCCCTGGAGGAGTCACTCCACATCCCCAGTGCTCACAGTGCTCACCCCATGTCCCCAGGGCTCCTTCCATGTCCCCAAACATCACCCCATGTTCCAACTGCTCAATTGCCCCAGCAATTATCTCACATCCCCAGGGCTCACATCACATCCCCTGGGTTTACTCCATGCCCACAGGGTGTTCACCCCATGACACTCAAGGGTTGATCCCACACCTCCAGGGATTGCTTCATGCTCACAGTACTCCCAACTTGGGAATCAGCCCATGTACCCAGTGTCACCCCACATCACCAGGACTCACCCTGTGTCCCCAGAGGCTCAGCTAACATCCCCACGGTCACCCTCCAGTTATTACCCCATACCACAGAGGGTCACCCCGTGCTCTCCAGATGTTACCCCATAACCCAGAGGGTCACCCCGTGCTCTCCAGATGTTACCCCATACCCCAGAGGGTCACCCCATGCCCACAGGGGTTTGCCCCACATCCCCAGGAGGTTGCACCCAGGTCCCCAGGGGTTACCCCAAAAACCGGGGGCTCACCCCACGCCCTTGGAGGGTCAGCAGGGGACACCGGGCCCCCTGTGGAGCCCCGGTCCCCCCGGCGTCGTGCCACGCAGGTGGCGGCTTGCGGCTGGCGAACGGCAACGGGAGCTGCCGCGGGCGGGTGGAGGTGCGGCACCGCGGCACCTGGGGCACCGTCTGCGACGACGACTGGGACTTCCCCGACGCCCAGGTGGTTTGCCGGCAGCTGGGCTGCGGCAGCGCCCTCGCCGCCACCGTGCTCGGCTCCTTCGGCTACGGCAGCGGGCCCGTGCTGCTGGATAACGTGGGCTGCGGCGGCGGCGAGGCGCGCCTGGCAGACTGCTTCCACCTGGGCTGGGGACAGCACAACTGCGGCCACCACGAGGACGCCGGGGTCATCTGCCGAGGTGAGAGGGGGAGCTGTGAGAGGGGGGTCTGGAGGTATCCGGTGAAGCCCAGCTCAGTGGGAAAGTCAACGAGAGAATGGATGTAGGGGGGATTTTGGCCACGCTCAGGCTGGCTGTGGGAAATGGGGTCCCCCAAAATGGGGTTGGGGGTGAAGAATGAGCAGTGGCAGTCGGTGCCATGGTGCAGGTGATGGCTGGAGTGTGGCACCCCCTGTGGTCCCCGTTTGTGCACAGTGGCTGCACATCCCACTCCACATCCCTGCAGCCATCCCCAGCCATCCCACACTACTGCTGGGGGGCTCTGACCTGACCCTGTCCCTTGAGTCACTCTTCCCACCTCTCCTCCACTGCACCAGGTGCTGATGACACTGAAGACCATTTCCAAGAGGCCACTGCTACAACAACCACATTGGCCCCGACTCGTCCCAAGGAGGGTAGGTACTGGGGTGTCACCTGAGGACACAGTGTCAGCCCTGGGAATGCTCATGCTGGCACAGGGTGGAAAAATAAATGGCTCAAGCAGAGGCACAAGATCTGGCAGTGCCTGAAGCAGCCCACAAAAGGGGGAAAAACTGATGACACTGTTAAGCCTCTCCTGGTGCCCCTAAGGCTGATTCAGGCAGAGGTGATGGACCATTGAGTGACGGACCTCAGGGTGGGGAGAGGAGGTGATGGACCAAAGGGGCAGAGCTGGCAACAGAGGTGATTTTCTGCTCCATGATGCTCTGAGGGTCACCCCCAGCTCTGGCAGGTGGTCACCCCCCACTCCTGGCTGTGCAAAGCTCTGGGCTGACCCCAGAGCAGGCAGGGACAGTGGGGCACAGCGCTGGGGTGGGCACAGGCAGGGGCTGCCTCACCCCCTCCCCTCCGCAGGGTCCCTGCGCCTGGTGAACGGCAGCCACCGGTGCGAGGGCCGCGTGGAGATGTTCTACCTGTCCCAGTGGGGCACGGTGTGCGACGACGCCTGGGACCTGCGGGACGCCAAGGTGGTGTGCAGGCAGCTGGGCTGTGGGCACGCCCTGGCAGCCTGGGGGGAGGCACACTACGGCCAAGGCACGGGCTACATCTTCCTCGACAACCTCAAGTGCAAGGGCCACGAGCCCTCGCTGCTGCGCTGCTCCCACATCCGCTGGGACGTCCACAACTGCGACCACTCCGAGGATGCCGGTGCTGTCTGTGACATCCTATGACCCTCCCGCAGGTAAGGGGGGACAGGGATGCCGCAGGGAGCTGGTGGCAATGCCACAGAGAGAGGTTGAACCCTTGGTGCTGGTCTGGATAAATTCCCTGCGCTGGATGTTTGGGGTCTGAGAATGGGAGGCTGAAGGAGCACAAATGAGCAAGGGGAAATGGAGGAGGCTTTAATTATTTTGCCACATTCTGGAATAATAAACTGGCCTCTGGCTGGGTGCTGGTGTGGGGCTCAGGAGCTCTGCTGCCCAGGAATTGGATGTTTGGGGTCTGAGAATGGGAGGAGCTGGGTGAGGACTGGGTTCTCCTCAGCTCCTGAAAGAGTGGCTGAAGCTTACCCTCCCACCCCACCCCCAGACTGCCCCTTGGAAAAACAAAACTGCTTCTGGTGTGAAATCTGGTTGGTTTCAGCCATTTCTTTTAAGAGATGAGGAAAGAAAAATGGATTTTCTGCTGTGAAAATGATGTTAAATTATACTCAGAAAATGTAAAAAGGGGGCTGAAATCACACCAGGATGCTCCAGTGGCTCGGCAGTGAGTTACTGTTGTTCTGCAATTTGCTTTGCAAGCCCTCCAGCAATCCCAATACCAGCTTTTTCTTCCCATTTTGGCATCAGAAATACCAGTTCCTCCCCCATTCCCATGCAGCAGAAATGCAGGCGTTGGATCTCACGCCATCTGCAATCCTTGTGCCTGTTTCACCTGCTCCTTCTGCAAACACTGGGGGGTTTAGGAGAGCTCAGATAAGGTTTCCCTTCCTGGGGGGCTTCAGCACAGCCAGTCCATGCCCAAAAAAATCTCCTGGGGAGTGGGGAAGGATGGGGATACCCTGCAGCCCCCCATCCTTCTCCCTGCTGTGCCATACAGACGTGCTGGCTTTGGCTGCTCTGTCCCAAAAGCTCCATGTTCCAAGGTGCCCAGAGCAGGCAGGGAGCTGGCAGACAGGACACAAGCAGATGGAAAACCATAGGGAAGACCCCAAATCCCTTCCCAGAGCAAAGAAAGGGACCCAGGAGCCTGCTCCTTCCCCAGTGCCCTGCCTTTGGGGTATAAAGGCTGTTTTCCTCCCAGCTCAGGTGGAAAGACCCAGCCTGCAGCACCAGTCACCTTCACCACCAAGTGTTTGATTCCTACTGGGACATTGGGAAAATGACTTCTGTGTTCTCATGGATGGGGTTCAAGAGTGGGGAAGGGCTCATGCAGTGGCACAAAGCTCACTCCTCTGTTTGTGCAATTATTTTGTTGATAAGAGACTGTGCATATTCCTGGGTTGGGTTTTTTTCATTTTCCAATTTTTTTTTTTCTTATATGTGTGTGGGTTTGTTTTTGTGAATACATAAAAGCCCTTTGAAAGTGCTCTCAGAGCTGACTTGTTTTCCTGTCATCCCCTCAAAGCCCTGGGTAAAAGCAAACACCTGGAGAAGAGGAGATGTCCCAAACCTGGAGGAGAGAGCTCAGTTCTTGGTGCCAAAAATTTACCCAAATCCCTACCTCAAAATGCTCAAGCTGCCTTTAACTCCCACCCAGCTGACAGCTCAGCTTGGACCTTTCCCCACCCCAGCTCTGGGTACAGCCCTGAAGCCCATCAGGCTCAGGAGTTGAGGCTGGCTCAGCTTTGGGTTTGTCCCCAGTGGGATTTGGCAGACACATGAGCTGTGAGGTGGCCCTGGCCCCATGCTCAGGCTCCTGTTGGTTGCTTCTCTTCCACTTCCCATGGACAGAGCTTTCCCAGCACTTTGATCCCAGTCCAGATCCCCATCAGTGGGGAAACTGAGGCATGGAAGCATCTTCCAGGCAGGTTGTGGCAGCACAGCTGGGCAAGGGCTTGCTGGAGCACTGGGAGAGGGCAGGGAGGTGGTGTGGGAACAAAATCCTCCTTTCCCTGTGCTCCCAGGTCCTGCACACTCCACTGCCCCCTCACTTCCCCTCTCACCTCCTCCTCCAGGACAGCTGGGCAATGCCTGGGTCCTGCTGGGAGCAGGAGGGGGACAGAGCTGTCCCCAGCAGCTCCCAGCCCATACCCACAGCCCACTGGGGATGGGTCAGAGGGTGCTGTGGGCTCCTCCAGCTTTGCTGTCCCCTCCCTGTGCCTATGGGAGATGGGAGTGGGGCCAGGAGCTGCTTTGGAAGCTGCTGCCTCTTGGGGTGTCACAGGGAGGAAGATAAGAAAGGCTCGATGGGTTTTCCCTGTTTTTCTTGGGGACTATGCCTTCAGCTGTCAAAGCTGGGCTGTTTTTTTGTCTTACCCCACACCCTGCTCTTCTTGGCTTTGATCTGGGAAGAGCAGGTCTTGGTATCCTGTAGTTTCTCTCTTTCACAGCCTACAATCCGGCAAGCAAAGGGTTTCCAGCCAGGAAAGGCAGCAGCTGCCTCCCTGTCTTCCAGCCTTTTCTCCTGCAGCCAGCTTGGGATGGGCTGAGATCCACAGGGATCCCCCCAGACACTCACAGCCAAGCTGGGCATCACGTCCTGTTCCTCTGGGAGCAGGGAATGGCAGGCAGGGTGGGAGCAGGGTACCAGCAAGGGGATGCCCTGGGGCAAGGAACGGGGAGGTGGAGAATGCCCTGGCTCTGCAGCAGGATGCAGCAGCACAGGGAATGCTCTGGAGCTCGGCAGCAGCACAGGGGATGCTCTGGAGCAGGGTAGCAGCACAGGGAATGCTCTGGAGCTCGGTAGCAGCACAGAGGATGCTCTGGAGCTCGGTAGCAGCTCAGGGGATGTTGTGGAGCAGGGCAGCAGCACAGGGGATGCTCTGAGGCTCGGCAGCAGCACAGGGGATGCCAAGGGTGCGGGAGCATCCCACCACGGGACCACAGCCAGGCTGCAGCGGCTGCGTGGGAGCCGGGATAAGCCGAGCTCCTGCCCAGCTCCCATCCTCTTGCCGACGTCAGCTGTTTCCCGGCGCCCAGAGCAGCTGCAGCTCCACACCGGTCGATGTCATCGATTAGTTCCTCTCCCCATCCCCGGAGAGGGGATGGTGTGGGGGGTAGCAGGGAGGAGAGAATAAATATTTCAGCAGGTCCAGGCAAAAGCTGGGGTTATTTTGAGGCTGGGATTTATGGGCTATTAGGAATAAGGAATGAGTCTGTGCTGAGAGAAGAGACCCATTAATCCAGGCTGAAGGAGCACAAATGAGCAAGGGGAAATGGAGGAGGCTTTAATTATTTTGCCACATTGTAGAATAATAAGCTGGCCTCTGGCTGGGTGCCGGTGTGGGGCTCAGGAGCTCTGCTCCCTGGGAACTGGGGCAGGTGAGGGGACACTCATGATTAAATCCCCCCCCAGCAGTGCTGCGAGGGATGGGCAATCCATCCTGGGACCAGTATGAGACCAGCACAAGCAATGCTTCTGGCCGGGACGTGGTGGAGGACGCCCTGCTTGTGGGGGCAGGCTGCAGCCTGCAGGGACAGCAGGACGGGCCCCTGGGTCAGTGCCCGGTGCCAGGGGTGCCCTTCCCGGGCTGGGCCAGCCCTGCCACCGCCGTGCCCCGTTAAGGCAATCCCGTGTGTGCCTGTAACCGGAGGAGCCGGGCGCTATCCGGCGCAGGGTGAGTCAGTGCCGGAGGCAGCCCTGGGCCGGGAGCATCCCTGGCTCTGCTGCTCCCTGCACCACCTGGGTGACCTTGGGCTCTGCTCTGTTCCCCAGCTCGCTGTGCCCCCCGGCTCACTGTGCCCTCCCCTGCCCTCCTTGCTGCCTCAGTTTCTCTGGGGGACATAGGGAGGGTGGTCCTGGCTCACCACTTGACACCCTCGGAGAGCTGCAGGGACAGGCTGCCCTGACTGGAGGGGCATTCCTCACCCCGAGATTTGCCCCCCCGGGGCAGCCTGCCCCAGCCCCTGCAGTCAGAGTCCCGGGAGCGCGGACACCCGCGCGGCAGGGATGCAGAGCACGGACAGCCCCGGAGCACCTCCTCCTCCTCCGACGGGATGAACGAGGGCCTGACCTCCCTGCGGCATCCCTGCGGCACTGCAAGCCTCGCTCCCTTGCGAGCGCGGCCCCGGGTGCCAAGGTCACCCAGCGGGACCAGGGCGGGTGCCGGAGCCGCTCCGCACAGCCCGGCTCCTTCCCCGGCTCCTTCCCCGCTGCGCCGGGCCTGCCGCCGCGGCTCCCGCTAACGTCACCGCCGGAGCCAGCAGCTATTTTGGGAACTGCAAAGTCACTGGCGCAATTAGTCGGCTGGCAAAGGCAGCGGGGCGGCGGGGGGACCGCGGGGACGGCTGCTCCCCACGCTGTGCCGTGCCGTGCCGTGCCGTGCCGTGCCGGGGGCTGTGCAGCCACGGCCCACGGGCACCGCCAGCTTCCCTGCGCCTGCAGGGTCCCTCCGCCAGGACAAATGGCCACGGCTGCAAATCCTCGCATCCATCATTTCCTTCTCTCTGCCTTTTTTTTTTTTTTTTTTTTTTTTTTTTTTTTTTTTTAATATTTAATTTGATGTCGCTCCCCTGGCAGGAGCCTCCCCACGTGGGCTGCTGAGCCAGCTCGCTGCCGCCTCGCTGCCACCGCTCGCGTTTGGGGAGAGGCAGGAGAGGGAATGTCTGCCAGCCGCGCTTCCCAGGGCCATGCCGCGGCCCTGGGGCTGCCCCGAGGGTGGGAGGGGGTCCGGCTATTCCCGGGAACGGCTATTCCCGGGACCGGCTCTTCCCGGGTGCTCAGCTGGGCGCTTGGTTTAACCCGCTCTGCATCCTCCGGGGCGCAGCCACAGCGGTGCCCCAGCTGCACGGCCGCAAGTGCGACCCTGTTGGTCCCATGGCAGAGATGGGGTGTGGATGGGCTGCTGTGACAGCGGAGGGACGCCTCACCCCGGGGCACAGCACAAAGAGAGGTGGCGTTCTGCCACGCAGTGTCCTTGAGCCCGGGGATGTGGGGACAGTCACAGGGGACAGCTGGGGGTCTCAGTCCCCCTGCCCAGCGCTGTTTGGTTTCTCTGCCCACCCTCCTCACCTCCCGGTAACCTCCAGGTCATGGCCAGAAGGGATGTGTACAGAAAGGCTGGGACAAG